CAGTGGTCCCCAACCTTGGGCCTCCAGATGTTCTTGGACTTCAACTCCCAGAAATCTTGGCCAGCAGAGGTTGTGGTGAAGGCTTCTGGGAGTTGTAGTCCAAGAACATCTGGAGTCCCAAGGTTGGGGACCACTGCTCTAGATAATATACCATACTTCTGCAACCACAGATGAATGATATACTATATACATGGCATTCTTTCATTCGTACATACAAAGGGTTTTATGGCCATACTGTATGCAGAAGGGATGACATACAGGGGAACACACAAACTCATTATATTTTCCCCTTTTTATGTGGTGAAGGCTCTCAGGGCTGCTGAGAGGCTGAATGGGAGCACCCAGTACTGAACATATTTCTTATTTTTAAGGGATTACTGCTTTTTTGGGCTTTTCTGCTATTTGTTTCCTATTAATAGTTTGTTTTATTGCATTGAATTCATTTAAAATAAATTGTGGGTTATACACTTTAAAATACAAACAAAAAAATGATAAAAACTATGCACAGATGTCATGCACAGAAACAAATTCCTTTATTTCTTATGCCCCTCTTTGCCCATCTTTTTGACTTTCTTCTCACCTGAACAGCCTGGCATCCATATCTTTCAACTCTACTCCTAGCTTCATCCCAACAAAAAGGCCTACTCCATGTAAGACACGAGAAGAGTCATTCTGAATAAAATGAAATCAGTGTCTTGTCCAGACTTCAATGGGCTACCTGGAATTAGTTTGCTGTCTCCATTGTGTTTATGGGAATTCCATAAGCAGGACATGAGTGTAGCAATACGCTCCTGCTTATGTTCCTTGGCAACTAGTATTGAGAAGCATACTGATTGCCTTGGATATCGGAGGAAATTTACAGCCATTGTTCATGACAGTGCCACCTTGTTCTCCATGAATCTGACCAAAGCTTCTATAGTAGACAGACATTCTAAGAAATCAAACAAAGGGCTTGAACATAGGGTGTGTTTTAGTGCTTTATGTGGATTTCTTTTCAGACTATTCGGTAGAAGAAAAATCACTATTCAGTTGACCTCTGAGGGAATGTAAAAACTGTAGGTGAATGGTAAAGCAGTTACACTGGATACAATGCAAAGACAATTAGGGTGTAATCAGTGACAAGAAAGATTCACATCTGATCTCATCAGAAAGGGGAGCTTGGCCGGGAGCCATCTCCCTTAAAGCGACCCTTCCACTTGTAGAGGAATCATTCCAATCTGATCCCCCAAAAGAGAAGCCCAACTGCTGGACCAAAAAGGTCCAGTGTGGACACAGATTGGAGTCAGACTGGTTTGACATTTCACATATGTCATGTGATCACTGAAAAGTAGCTCCCACCAAACTGTGCCACAAGTAGTCCAGAATGCAAGCTACTTCTTCATCAGATCACACCCTTAATCACACTTAAGCCTAAACCACTACATGGAAAGCACAGAAGATGAAAATGAATGGCTCTAGCTTCCAAATAAATGTGATTAGGATTTGGGTGCAATTAACTATAGGGTGATTCAAAGACCTCTCTCTTTCCTCTGTATTATTTTAGAATATGTGCATCAGACTGAGTAGACGGTGTGGAGCCTTTAGCCTTTTTCATAATGAAGAAAGCTCGCTCTTGGAGATGAGTTAAACTGGTCTAGAAATGTTATGTTCAAAATAACTTTTGTAGGGGCCACGAGGCAAACCAGGAGAGATGGGGCCTCCCGGTCCTAAAGGACCTCCTGGAAATGATGGACCTCCGGGAATGAAGGGAGAAATTGGCTTCATGGGAACTACAGGAGCAAAAGGAGAAAAGGGGGAGACTGGCTCACCAGTGAGTAAAACGCGGCATACACAGTAACTGTGAACTATTTGTTTGCAGATATTCCCAGCAGAAAAACCTACAAGCCAAATTTTTAATGAGTGTGAACAAGAACAACAGCCCCACAGAAAGTCATTGTCCAAACAACATCCTGGGTAACTACTCAGATGAAGCTTATTATTCCTCAACAAAGAGATGGCAATTAACAACAGTGGTTTTTAAGGGAAATTATCTTAGGTATCACCCTCAAGCCTAAAAATCCTAGCCTATCCTAGGCTGCAGTTTCAAGGTACAGTACTAATGTTCTCCATGACAATTAGCATTCAGTTCTGAAGAAGAGCTGTGGACATTTACTAAATTTCTATATTATGTCCATACTGTCCATTGTCTGAAAGAAAACCCACTGGTTTCAATTTTAAACATTTTTTGGTGAAATGTTGCTTTAGGGAAAGCTGTTTTAGGGTCCCAGGTGGTAGCTAAAGTGAAGGAGATTTTAAAATAAGGTCAGTGAATATCAATAGAGAACCTATTGAAAAGAATGATCACCTGATACGATAGGCCGCTACCACCTGGTTGCTTTTAGTCTGAGGCAGAAGCTTGAATCTCAAACAATATCCCTTTGCCACCTAGATGCCTACATTCAGAACTAACTTTATTTGTTTGTTTGTTTGTTTGTTTGTTTAACTTATATGCCACCCACTCTACCCAAAGGTCTCTGGGCGGTTTACAACAATGCAGTAGAGCACTTCCACCAGTGTTCTACTGCACTCTTGAATTACTTTATCTGTGCATCTTCTGCTGCTGTTGCCGCTCCAAGGGTTGTTCGTGGTGGTAAATGTCTAGTGTCCAATGAAAGAAAAGAGAAACACTTCCTTGCCTTGTATCAAAGGTGCCTTTTAACAAAGTCATATCAAGGAACCTGGTAGAGAGAATATTCTGCCAGAGAAAGGCTGCAGGAGGAGTTGCCATTGACCGCTTGTCCAAACTGAAGTCAACCAACAATGGCCCCACTAGGGATGCTGTAACTAATCCAATACAGTAAAATAAACAATGAACACATCTTTATCCATGACATAATTTAGCATGTTAAAGTAAATATTTATCCCCCATAGGGTCTTGATGGTCTAACTGGAGAAAAAGGTGATCGAGGGATGCCAGGACCTCCGGGCCTAACGGGTCCAATTGGACTTCCAGGTTTTACAGTAAGCAATCCAAAGAATACATTGTCCAAACCTCACCATAGATAAAGATGTGTTCAATATGCATGGCAGAACCTTGCATATTGTTTAAATTATCTTGTCTTGGAGTTCTTTCTTTTGAAACTGAAAGAGAAGGCCACTTCTATTAAAGCTGAAAATGAGGCCCATTTAGTGCATTTGTAATTGAGGTGAAATTTGACCCACTGCTACAATACTTGCTATAAAGCAAAAGTGTGCTACTTGTATACCACCCCATAGTGCTTACGGGCAATTTACGTATGCAAGCTACATATTGCCCCACCACCACCACAGTGAGCTGGGTACTCATTTTACTGACCTCAGGAGGATGGAAGGCTGACTCAGTCTTGAGCCAGCTACCTGAGTCTGCTGGGATTGAACACAGGTCATCAGCAGAATCATGAGTTCAGTACTGCAATCTAACCACTGTGCCATGAGGGTCCTATAACCTCTCCAACTTAATGCCACATGCAGTAAAACAGGTTGCTGTTTGACGTATTGTGAGCTAAAATGTTTTTTGGGAGGTGAGAGGGAAATTAGCTGTTTATTATGCAAGTTTATAAAAGCTTAGGATGGAGTAAAAGTTCCAACCAGTTACAGTGCTGCTTCACAAGACGAAAATAATTCGTTCCGCGTATTGCAAAAATTTCATCTTGCCCTCCCATCACTGAGATACCCCCATCACTTAGTTACACCCCCCAACATTTCCTTAATCTCAAATACATCATTCAAAGACCCCTCTTCAGATGTGGCATTGTGGGCAGGGTGACCATGGAGACTGTCTATGTCACAGACAATCTCCATGGCCATCATATCTATACAGCCTTGGTTGAGGACCACTAAGACAAAGGCATTTTCCAACCAGATACAGTGATGCTTCGCAAGACGAAAATAATTCGTTCCGCGTATTGCAAAAATTTCATCTTGCCCTCCCATCACTGAGATACCCCCATCACTCAGTTACACCCCCCAACATTTCCTTAATCTCAAATACATCATTCAAAGACCCCTCTTCAGATGTGGCATTGTGGGCAGGGTGACCATGGAGACTGTCTATGTCACAGACAATCTCCATGGCCATCATATCTATACAGCCTTGGTTGAGGACCACTAAGACAAAGGCATTTGAGGCCTGGTTCACTCTGTAGGTGGGACATGGTGGCGCTGTGGGTTAAACCACAGAAGCCTCTGTGCTGCAAGGTCTGTAGATCTTCAGCTGTAAGATCGAATCCACATGACGGAGTGAGTGCCCGTTGCTTGTCCCAGCTCCCGCCAACCTAGCGGTTCAAAAGCATGCAAATGCAAGTAGATACATAGGGACCACCTCGGTGGGAAGGTAACAGTGTTCCGTGTCTAAGTCGCACTGGCCACGTGACCACGGAAACTGTCTTCGGACAAATGCTGGCTCTATGGCTTGGAAACGGGGATGAGCACCGCCCCCTAAAGTTGAACACGACTGGACAAAAATTGCCAAGGGGAACCTTTACCATTACCTTGAGACTCTGTAGAGTCATGTATGAGAGGTTTCTGTGCTGTAATTTTGTCAAGGCAGGAACAGTTTGTTTGGCTCTCCAGATCCTTCATGGCTGTATCTTCCCAGGCGTGACATTTACAGCCTAAGAGCAGACAGGTATTCCAGAGTGGATCTGAGGTAGGCGGGAGCAATTTGCCACCTTTCATGTTCTGACACTTGAGACATATGCTTCACCCTGCCTGATAGGAAGAATGGCTGTGAATTGAAAGCATTCCCAAAATTTGAGAAGATGACAGCCAACTATTTCATTAAAACAAAATAGCTGGCATTGTTACTATAGACAGCTGGTGGTGTATTATATGGGAAGTAATGACTCCTGTTCTGTAATGCATATCTACATCAAGCTTTCACACAACTGAAACTTGTTAATACTGCACTATCATGATCAAGAAATAGATCTTGTACTAACACTGGGAATGATATTATAATGTTTGTTTTATTTACAGGGAGAGAAAGGAGACCATGGAGAAAAAGGAGATATTGGAAACTCTGTAAGTTGTTACTATTTATCTTCTAAAATTCACGGTTGGTCCTCTTTTTTAAAAAAGCAAAAAGTATCATCTTAAGAAAGTATGCAGAATTTATCCCCCTACAAACAACAGAGGGATCATCTGAACACTGTCCTAGTCTAAAAGCTTTCCCCAGAAATCCCCCACCATGGGGATTATTTTCCAAGTAAACGCTTATAAGATTGTCTTCCACAACCTACTAAACTCAAGGAGACTTCCTCTCGAATGACCTTCTTGGGCTACTGCTTTTATTTCCGGAATATTCATTTACAGTGTTCTGCTTCTCTGAAGTTTAAGTATTATGCTTTTGTTAAAGTTATTTATTATAGTGGTATCATTGGGTTTTCTCTTTGGGGTTTCAGGTCACTGGGCCACCAGGGCCACAAGGCCCAGCAGGATCACCCGTAAGTCCTTTATTTAATATAATGGATAAGATAAAGTTATGTACTTGAGGATCTCCCTTATTTTGTCTTCTTTTGTTGGGACAAAAGAAAAGCCATCAGTATTGTAAAACAATCTTACAGATCATCTGTAGTAACCTTCCGAGGAAACTAAGTTGGACTAAGTTGCTTGCTTGCGCTGGTCAATAGACAAGCGGTCAACCCCGTAACCTCCCTTTCACCTCAGTGCTCTTTCTCTTCACTCTTGCTTCATTCTTTTTTCTTTCTGTCCCTTCAGCCTCGTGTCCACTCAGCCTTTCCCTCTGCTAATTCTCCCTCACCATCTCCTTACCAAGCACTAGGGTCAGTATCCTATTGCCAGTCTCGGCTAGAGAGTACACCCAGTGAATCAATTGTTGAATGGTAAGTCAACACATCTGTAAATTCCATTCAGCCAGTGGGTCTACTCTAGTTAGGACTACCAGTAGGATACTGGCCTACATTTTTTTTCTTTTTGGAGGGAGGGAACTTTGGGTGGGGTATGCCATACAGAGCTACCTGAAGAATATGGGAGATATGAATCCCCCAGGCTTGCCTCCATCTACGTATGTCTCCTGGTCAGGGAAGACATGGCACTTAGTACCTTAAAATGGTACTTTAGGACATGGACCAGTTTTAATTAACTAAAATTAATCAATAGACTTTAGAAACAAACTGAGATGTACATCCATAGGGTCCTCTTAGCATCCTTGATGAGTTTCAGATGTTTAGATTTCACTGTCTTCCACACACACGGGCACAATTATATACATACACACATTTGCTAGTATTATAGACATTTCTACTGTTGATGTGAGTAGTGTTTTAAATTATATTTTATTATAGCTGTCCTTCTTAATTTCTTTATGCATGTACCATTCAGTTACTGCTCCTTTTCATATAAACTTGCATTTTTCTAAAGCTTGCCTATTAAAATTTATAATTCTTATGTATATTGGTGTTTTTTTTAAAAAAAACATGTTTGCATGATTTGGTGAATGAATCAACAAAAGATATTTAATTATTATTGGCAGACTACAGACCTTTCTTAAGGGCAACAAAAGTTGCAAATAATAGCTAATGGTGCAGTAATATTTGGTATAAGTTTGTTAATACTCTAACTTAAATCTGAGCTGATAAAGAGAAATATGTGAAATGTATACAGCGGGATAGTATTGGGATTCATAAATTTAAGCTACAAGGATGATCTATGATTTCCCCCCTCTTGTTGTTTGTTCCAAATACAGGGTCTTCAAGGCCTTCCAGGACCTAAGGTAAGAATAAGAGGCCAACAGATGGAAGCCCATGAGTCATTTTTACAGGAGATTCATAGGAGGCTGATTTGGAGGTTAGTTTTTTGTGATGGATAGTGTAGATTTAACAGCAACTCCAGATGTGGCAGCAGCGTATGTCCCATGTCCTGACATTCAAATGGTTAGTGTAAGAATATGCCTGGGACTTAATTGCAAACATTTATTTTCTATATCCATTGCATATTCATTTATGGAATAGAAGCCCAGTGTTGCTGGTACTTTTTTTTAAGGATTGCCATTTAGCTGAGCAGTTTTGAATAAGGAAACAATATGCAAGAAAGGGGTTCAGTCCTCCCCATTTCCTCCCTTTCTCAGATCAAAATGGATGAGAAAGGCAGAAGCTTCATTTCTTTGGGGAAAAAATGAAATTAAGATATGTTTGTCTCAATGTACAATAAGAACTTCACAGTCAAAATCCTGCTCAAGTAGGCATAATATAGAGTTACGTAATGCCTGTGGAAGTGGTCTGGGCAGTACATGCAGGGAGCCAACACAGCACAATTTGATTATGCAATGAATTACATGGTTTGCATTGCAACTGTTCCACAACATGCAGGCAGAAGTGTTTCACTATCAGCATTCCGCCCTGCTATGACTTTTTCTACCACTTCTGAAGCTTCACATTACACTGTGTAAAATTATGAACATGATCTGTGAAACCAGTGGAGAGACTGCCTTGAAAATGAAATTGGGAGTGAAACTGGTTGCAAAACGTCATGTCTGGCTTCCATAAGTTATCTTGAATGCTGTTGGGTACCTTTGCTGTGTAATTAATATCTGTTTGGGTTCCTATCCAGGAAATACTGGACTTTCTCCTGATGCATCTTTCTTTTAGGGAGAAGCAGGCATTGATGGAATGAAAGGTGAAAAGGGTGCCATGGGAGAGAAAGGAGACCGAGGTCCTCTGGGATTACCCGTAAGTATCTACAGGACTATTCCCAGTGTGGTTTAGTGGATAGAGTGATGGACTAACAGGGTTTGATTCCCCGCTTGGCCATGAAAACTCATTGAGGGAGTGGAACTAGTCAGACCACTCCTTAAATATCTCGCTTACCTTGAAAACCCCATTAGGGTCTCTATAAATCAGTTCTAACTTGACCTTGCAGAACACACAGAACCAAGGGTTTTTCAGGAACCATCCTTTAATTTAAGTTTTAACAAACTCTCCAAATAAGGAACAAAGCGTCAACACAATTTCACATGAAATAGGAAAGTTTGAAATACAGTAGAGAAACACATGAACCCAGAAATATGTCTTGAACTTAAAAATTCTTGTCAGTACCTTCCAAATAAATTTTTCTGGATACTGACAACTGGATATGCCTCCCTTGGCTTTAATACATGTGGCATAATGTTGAAATGTTAGTTCAAATGGCAAGATAAGATGTGCAAGGAAAAAAAAAGAGAAAAACAGCTAATGAAACTGTGTTCTATTAAAAAATCTCAGAAGAGGAAACTGGATAATGTGTGAAGTGACAGTATGGCACTGTTCTCTTCCCAAGCAGGTCTATCAATCTTGAAGTATGCATACCTGTGTTACGGTTTGCTCATGGCAATGCCAAAGGCCTTTTTTTCTGGTTTACATTAAAAAGCCCAGGTTGCAGCTGAGTGTAATTACTGCTTAGTCCATTCACAGGACTTTTGTGTGGAACTTTCCATTGTGGTGCTCAGTCACAGACTGGTCAAGCAGGTGCACTCATTTTCCTCAGTTTGGGGGACAGTCAAGAAGCTATATTAGTGGTTGCTAAATGGTAGTTAAATGTTGAAGCCACCAAGAAGAAAGGGGTATTCGTCCTTCTGTTGTTTGATGGCAGCAGCTGCAGTGGTGCTCAGTCACAGACTGGTCAAGCAGGTGCACTCATTTTCCTCAGTTATATTAGTGGTTGCTAAATGGTAGTTACTGTAAATGTTGAAGCCACCAAGAAGAAAGGGGTATTCGTCCTTCTGTTGTTTGATGGCAGCAGCTGCAAAGCAAAGCTGGTGTAGCAACAGGGATAGCGGCAGCCCTAGCCACCTTTTCCAGCCACCTTCTGCTACTGCCCACAAGTGGCACTCAATGCTAAGGACATGGGGCATCTTCCCACTTGTTTGCCATGCAATGAACAGCGGCATCTTACTTCCCTGTGCCTTCCTACAAGCTGCCATCGGGCCACTTCCCATTTGTGGTCTACATCACTGGTTCTTAACCTTGGCTGCTGCTGCCCACAAGTGGCACTCGATGCTAAGGACATGGCGCATCTTCCCACTTGTTTGCCATGCAATGGACAGCGGCATCTTACTTCCCTGAGCCTTCCTACAAGCTGCCATTGGGCCACTTCCCATTTGTGGTCTACATGGTAGATCGATGAATAGTAATCATGGTAATCCTTCACATTTTGATACCCTACTCTGTCATCCTAACAAGCTCATAAATCAGGTTAAGATTAGTCAAGTCATTGCCATTTTGTGTATGGAAAGCAGTTTGAGAAACAATGGCTGAAATCCTGTTGGTATGATCATGCCTAGGAAAGGATGACACAGTTACCAGCCATTTGTGATTTTTGGTAATTAAATGCTTTGTACTTCTCTTCAGGAGCTTTTCTGTGTAATCCTTTGCATTGTGTGGAGAGCATGGAGCCAGGGGATGGAAGAAGAAAGCCTTTAATTACTGAAATCACTGTTGCCAGATGACATGATTGGCTAGAGTAGATTTTTATTAATTAAATACTTTTTCCTTCTGTCCTTCAGCTCGCATGGCTTACCAGGGATTACATGAGAATCAGAAAAGTCATGGGACAGAAGTAGGAAGATTTTAATTATTGTCTGTGCTGGTGATGCTATCATCCTTCCATGGGCATAAGTTACATAACAGGATGGCTTATCCAGTGGATTTTCTCATGAGGTTTGAATGTGGAGGGAGGGGGGAGGACCCACGGATATACAGCTTACATGCCAAGATGATGCACTGTAGTGACTATATAAAACCATTGGAATTGGCATTGTGCCTGACTCCACAAAAGATGCTGCACAGCAAGTGCTAAGCAAGTTGCAGAATTCTACGTTTGGCAATTTCCAGCTGCCTTGGCAGACGTTGCAAGTCAGTGTAGTATGTGTGCCTGCTGAAGAGAAGAAGCGTGGTCATGCTGCCCTACTTCCTGGATTGGAGCCCTGTGATATTGAGGATTCCGTGTTCCCTGCCATTTGAGCTAATAGCCAATTATTTGGTAAGAGAAAAGGAATGAAAGGGGGCTGGCAACTCAGGAAGAGAAACACAGGCTAGACAATTGAGGAAGTGCACAATCCGCAGATATGGAAGGAGAATTCTAGTATCCATACTCACACAAAGGACGGTATGTTAAAACCCATATTGTAATAGATTTCTGAGGTATGGACAAGCGTTGGAGATTGGCTGAAAACCAATTACATAGATTTATGCCACATAAGACTGATAACATCATCAGTTATAGCTGTTTGGGGGAAATTAAACATTCTTCATTATGAATCTCTTCTGCACAGAACATTCCAGAATCTATCCAAGCTCAGCCCAAGCATTTTGGTAGTCCTGCCCACTATACTGCGTGTCAGGCAGTTTCTCTCTGTTTTACCTGAAGTTCCTTTTTCTGCTGCTGAGGCAGCAATGTTCAGGAATCTCTCCTCTCCACATCACAAAGCTGAGCCCTTTTTCCTTCAGATTCTTCTTCTCCATTCTCTGCAGTGTTCTCTCTCCTCTGTGTTAAACAGAAAGATAGAGAGAGAGAGAGAAGGAGTTACGATTGTTCCAGTCAATCTTGTTTTTCTCCTTGTTTTTGATTAGGAATAGTTTTCCTTCTGCTTTATGGCACAGCAGCCCTTGTTTAAAAAGTGCATTGATTCTTGTTCAAAAATCCCAAAAATGACATTTGAAGTATCTTTTTTGTTTGGAGAGGAAACCTACAATACTCAGACTTGCAGATCTGTCAGTCCTTTACTCCAACCACCAGGGTGGAAGAAACAGAGAGGCACATCTAAAAGTGGGAAAAGGCTGGTTTTTTGCACCAGAGCAACAAGCTTCTTCTCCTAAAAGTCTCATTAATCATCCTGGGGAAATCTTTGGAGGCTGCATGGAAGAGGTGGGGAAGTCTTTTGTTCCTGAAAATTTTCACTATGGGTTGTCCTGCTACTTCAACAGCAATGATTTTTGGGAACTAAAGACTTCCTCCTTCCATCCTGCAACCCCCCCTAAACGTCCCACAGAATGAAAGGTGTGCTAAAGGAGCCTTGAAACATGATGGGGGGGGAGAATAAAAAAAATAATTCCCCCAAAACAGTTACAGCTAATGACATAATCAGCTTTGCATGGCATATCTTCATGCAAGTAGATTTCAGCCATCAAAATGGAAAGGAGAGAACGATGTCTGATTATTTTAAAAATATGATCTGAATAATTTTTATTTAGAAATATGGCCTGCCCCATCTCTAGATAGTCTAAATTCAGCTGGTAGACCCAGCTACACCAGATCCATGGAATGAGTGGGATGTGTAAAATCCACATTTGTGAAAATCCAGTTTAACATCAGTTGGTTTCAGATTGGGACCAATAGTTGGATTTAGACTGAAATTTGCAAATGGTCATTTCAAAAACAAAAAAACAAAAACAAAAAAAACACCAATTTTATGCTCCTATATGACTGTTTTTTCCATTATTGGTGGCAAATGTTTTTTTTCTGTCTGCATCTAGTATCAAACAGTTTTGGACACCTTCATTTTACAAAACATCAGAATTTGATTAATATTTTTAAGAGGCATGAGTTTAACACATTTTAAGATGCACAGAAGTATTAAATGACTTTAAAAAAAAGAAATAAATTTGTTTGGTAAGTTAAGAATATGAGTACTGAAAGCAATTTATAAATGAAAATACAGAAATCTACCAAATGTTTAAGGTCAGCAAAGAAAGAAAAGCTCAGATATGTTTGGTGAAACAAATCTGATTTAAGATGACACATGCTAGCTAATATAGATAACATTGTTCCTAATAAATGACATCCTCCAAGGGCCAGTTCAAATATATGCTATTATGTAATTAAGATCTCATTCAGACAGGCATTAGTCCTGCTATTTGGTGTGTTAGGGTGGTGGTGGATTGGTTTGCTGTTTCTTCCAGCGACCATACCACGAGCGGACCAATTTGCTCCCAGGCATTCCAGTTCACACTTTTTTGAGCCCCTGTCAGGAACTTCTTCTTTTTTGGTGTGGGTGGTGTGCCCTAGTTTAGTTCATTCTCAGTGTGTGCGATCTCTGGGGACAGACTAAAATTAAGCCTTGCAGCTGTCAAAACTGCCAAGGCTTTTTCCAGTTCGAATTTCTGATATAATGAAGTGGCTTAATAAATAAGACACTGCAAGATATCAGCAAATTCAACACTTCTTCTGCTTCACTACAGAGAGGGCAGGGGAAGTTATTTATATGTATGTGTGTCTGCTAGACAGGTTGAATCAGATTAATTTAATCTTTGCCTTTGAGTGAAGTGCTGATCAAAACCACAGCTCTCGATCAGCACTACATACAAGAAAAACATTTTTAAAATTTTATCTAAGTGATTCCATGCATCAGTGGTAGTCTAGCACAGGCAAAAATACCAATAATTTCACTTCCCCTGCCACTCTGCAGAGGAGCAGGGGAACTGTTCAGTTGATAGCTGAAGGATTTGGAAGGTTGCTTGAGGTGGATATACCATTTGGAAGTGAAGATTGCACTGAATGGCATATTGCTCCTCCCCACATCATCCAGCAACCCTATTTAGATGCACCAGACTGCACCAAAAGGGCCAGCGTAGATGTGGCTTTACTTACTTTTATACAGTGATCCTTATAATGATCCTGAACCTAATCTGGCCAGCTAGTGCCCCAGAAAAGCAACCTGAGCTGTAAAAATATTTATCCAATCAATTCAGTAGCATCCATGTGGGTAGGTATAGTAAATCAAATGTCCCTCTCTGTCACCTAGTTTCATGGAAGTGCACTTCACAAACATAAGCTCTCCTGCTAGATTCATAGAGAATTGGTGTGCTAATCTTATAGTGTCATCATCAGATTTCCAAGGAGATTTTCATCACCTGCCTTTCTGAGGTTTTTGTACGTGATCTAGGCAGAGATATTATGTATGCATCAGACTTTGTGCCAAAGTCTCTTAAGGGAGCCCTATCTGGGGAACAAGAATGAAGATTTGCACCACTAGTTTAACAAGTACTGTAACAAAGATGGCAATTTTATCCTGTTACTGCACATTTGTATTCCCCAGTAAAATTGATATATGTTTAGTTCAAAGGAGAAAGAGGGACATTTACGTCACTTTTTAAGAAAGATTGAACAAATCCATGGAGGTTGAATGACTGTGTATTCTAAAGTGCCATAATATTGGGAGGTAATTGCCGAAATCCTGTTGCTTAGCATAGTATAGTAAGTGGCAAGTAGAGTAGGCCCAATGAATCAGTGGTACTTATGGAGGAGCTGATTCACTAAATCCACAATGATTCAATGAGCCTACTCTAGCTGTGACTTACTCCTGGATTTCAGACTATGCATTCTTATTTGGAAGCAAGCCCAACTTAACATAATGGGAGAGGACTTACTTCTAAGTTGATGCTATGCTTGTAAGACTGTTCATAGTCAGTAACTGCTGTGTTAACTATGAACCCCGTCTCACCCCATTACATAACCTACCGTATATCAAAATGTTGTGCTCATTTGGTGCTTGTTGGGCCACAAGCTCTGGTGACCCCGCCTCACCCCATTACATAACCTATATCAAAATGTTGTGCTGGTTTGGTGCTTGTTGGGCCACAAGCTCTGGTTCTGAACTGCCACAGTAAGTGTGCTAAAACATAAGGCATGGGTTCATAGCAAAAAATCCTAACATTGTCAATTCTCCTATAAATCTATGTCAGAGATTCACATCAGTTAAATGCTGTCATGCACCACAACCGACTAGTGGTTGTCTCCCATCCCAAGCATGAAAATGGCATACCAAACGAGATGGAGGAGTCTCGGTGAATCCTAGAAATGACTGGTACTCTTCTATACTTGACCCATTGCAACAACCAATCTGCATCTTTGCACATGTAATACTTGTGGCCCAAACAGAACAAAGCAAACAAAGTTTAGACATACATTTGTAGGGGAACGTGAGCTTGTGGATTTGTAGCTAACACACTTACTTGTGTTCCACAGCTTTTGCTCTGATGATAGTTGTGCCGGAGGGGAGGATGTGTTAGGTGATAGGAGACTTTATAGCCACCTTTGAATTCACTTAATGACAGCTTGCTTGTTTTTCTCTTTGCTTAATATATTGCTTTTATGTTTTTATCAATTTTGCAATATTTCACTATATTACTATTTTTCACTGTGATTGTAGTTATCACTTTATATGTTTCAGCTGATCTACTTTAATCACTATAATTGTTATCCAGCAGTATTTATGACAGAAATATTAATTTTCAGAACACTGAACAGAATGTGACAGCTTATTTATTTAGCCCATAAACAAGCCCATAAAGGAGTCAAGTAGGCAAAATTCCTCACAACCCGCCTGCAAGTCTTGAGCTGTTCCAGCGTCTCTGTATGAACACTAGGGGGAGGAATAGTCCAGTGCAGCCCAAAATAGAGATGTGCTCTATTTACACTGCACACCGTTACTTGCAGAATACTGCTTATAGTCAGTGCAAGTATGAGTACAGTATGATCAAAGTTTAATGTTTAGGAGGCAAGACATAAACTTAGAAACAGTGGTGCATTACCCATTAAAGCATGTGGGATGTTGCCTCACTCCAGCTATCCACCATCCCAATCCACCTTATTTCCTTACCAGAGGCAAATATAGAAGGCCTTTGCTTGTTTGTATGGATGAATGCTTGCTTGCCTGCCAGTCTCCGCGTATGTGTGAGAGTTAGGGAAAGAGTAAACGCTCACTTTTGTTGCTGACCCCTACCCACCATTGGATACTGTGCCTTCAGTCTCACCAACCATAGGGTGCAATAGCTCAGAAGATCTACATTAAAGATGCCATTAGCATGTTTGCATTTGAAACATATACTTACATATATGAAGAAGAGATCACAATTGCAGCATGGCACTACATTTCTATGTTCATGAAGTACTCACAGACAGAGGTCTGTCAACACTGCCACTGTAAGGTAAAAGTGAAACTCTTAGTTTTAAAAATGTTGACATTATAAATCAATAAAAGCATTGGAACAATTGTCAGTAAGATGATGGCAGCCTTATAACCAGACTGTGCTGGGGGAAAAATTGCACAGCCATTCCTGCAACTTTCCCCCTCCTTTTATTATTTTTCTGGTGATGAAAAGGATGGATGTTGCAGTGCAAAAACATGGGCTGATTAGAAATAGATCATGTTATCTGGGCCTTCCACAAATAAGGCAGCAAAACTGAACAACAAAAGCATCCCCAAGGAGGACCCATGGGGACCGCAGAAAGTTAGACCAAAAGATATAGATGTCTTTCCATAGAATCCACATTAAAATGGACCCACATTACATTGTTAATACAACCTTGCTATTGTTTGTAAAACCCATGGTGTGGCCTTTTACTGCGCAGTCCCTTTCTTAACAATTTGTTTCTTCAAGACTTGGCAATGCTTACTTTGACACCCCAATTTGATATGTCATAAACCACTTTACATAAAAGGTGGCCATTCCCTTTCTTGTGGTTTTCTGACCTGTCTTACTCTGCTCCACTTCTCCTAGCAACCACTGATGCCAGGCCACATATGAACCATGTAATGTAAGATTATTGAGCTTCACAGTGATACAGAACTGCTAACAGAGTATATGAAATAAAAAAATCTGTCTTTCTGGCTATTTTAAACAAAGGCCAGATTTATCTTATGCTTTGTTAGGATACTACATTTCTGTAGCAACAAATTATTCAGATTGTGAAAACCTACAGCCATAGTCCAAAATACTTTTTCTATTTCAAGCTCCATTAATTTCATTAGAGATTTCCCCTGTGCAGAACTTTAGGATAAGTTTATATATATGGGCTGAAATGATAAGATAATTAACAAGTACAATCCAGACTTAAAAGATAGGCTAACTGCTAGCACCATTAGCTGTGCCGAAACAATTCTTGTGTTGGCCAAAATCAACTGGCAGAAGAATCAGAAAGCATGCAGAGAAGGGGAGAAGCAAGGAAGGAGCTGAGTTACACTAGATCCAGACTCCTCTCAGCCTGGATTCACAACTGTTGTGCTGGTAATCAATTAGGCTGAGGTCCACATACTCTGAAGTAATTGCCAACATACTTAGGCTGGAATGGATTTGGATTCAGCAGAGGGTTCTCCTGTTTAGCGTGATCTCAGCCATTTTGGCTAGTTGATATTGTGCTTTTATTTGCATTCATTAAACCAGGGGAGATACCATAGAGTACCCTGTCAGGAACTTTTACGTCCCAGAGATAGTGGGGACATGGAAACTGTTGGGAATGTTTTATTATACTGCTCCAACCATGGCCTTTATTGAGAATTCCTTTTATTTGTTCTTCAAAAACTCCCAGGGAGATCAGCAGAATTTTATATTCCATTTTTTCTTTCTGATCAGGACCCCCATAATACCAACAAAGTGGCCAGCTTTTGTACAGCTGCCATAGTTTGCTACAGTTCTCTGCTAGCACAATGATTTTTTTACACTGATTATATAAACTTTATACACTATATAGATGTCGTGTTCAGCATAATATATATTTCTGTTCTGCATTGCATTATTTATTTACTGCTGGTCTTTGACCGTAATAAACTACAGTAACCTATTCACTAAATGGGACCTACGTGGGACCAAAACACACGTGGGTGCTGCAGCTGTTGATAAGAAGGGATATTGCAATCATGCAAGCGGCATCAGCCATCCCCTTCTTACAAGGCAAACAGAAGGCTTTTGTTTCTTGAATGGGAGGTTCCATGTAGTTCTAGTCTAATAGTAAGCATGATCCTGTGGGTCATAAAGCCCCAAGCTGAATGTACCCCACCTAAGTCTCATTCCATATTTTCATTAGCAGACAAAGCTCCATATCAAATCTTGTACTCAGTTATTTAGGCATAAGCTCCACAGAACTCAGTAGGGATTCCATCTGAATAGTATGCATAGGATTGCATCATGTTTGCCTGATAATACCAAAGGGTTTCCAAAGTTAGGCATTGTCAGTTTTAACAATCTTTTGTTACTTTAATTAACAATTAACCCCTAGAAGATTATTAGAATTAGCATGGGCCTAACATTTGAAAAAGAAATCAACGGTACTCGTCCAACTGGTTCCCCCTTATGTGTGAGAAAATTCTGGAGTGGACATGTTCCTCAGAGGGTATGCTAAACTGACTGGAATTTGACACAGCTTTTAACACATCCAAAAGTAAAAATCATGTATAGTTGTACTGTCCTTGAGACCTCCTTCCCATTGCTGCTCACCTCAGGCATCACAATAATGTTTTTTTCTTTTGTTTTGTTTTACTCTATTATTGCAATTCCAAGCTCATCCACATAAAATGAGAAAGCTACAATGCTTTCCAACATTTAGCGGGTGCTATTATATTTTTGGACAGAATATATTGGAGTGAGTACTTCATGGTGACAGGCATCCTAAAGCAGCCGATCCATGTTACATTCTGTGTTTGTTTTTTGTTGGCTTCTTTGTAAGTGGCATCACCTGTCCTTGAGATCTGAGTTTCATTGTTTTATTGTCTGGAGTCACTGCTTCACTTACCAATCCTTTCCCTTCCTCACCTCCCCTTCCTCCTTGCCTTTTGTTTTGTTAACCCTTCCCTGTCTGTCCAGGGTGCTTCAGGTTTAGACGGCAGGCCTGGCCCACCGGTGAGTTCCAGTTCTCTGTTACCCTTCATTCCCATCCCCTAATGCTGTGATTTGTCTTCTTTGTCCTGCCACAACTGTATCTGTATCATTGTCTATTTAAAAAGTGAGGATAGGACAAGTGAAGCTACTATGTTTTGGTACTGAACAACTATAAAATTCTGATTCACATCCTTCACACATTTACATGAATCCAGAGATTTAGGCCTAAAAATAATTTGTCTCTTTGTTTATCTGTAATATTTTGTAAACTGTGATAAATGGGACTTCTGAATGTAGTCACTTTAATGTTATGAATCTCTGTTCTCACATTGTCAACTGTCTACTGTCTTATTTTCATTCTCTGTGAAAAAATGTGTTAAACATCTCCTCCAACTTTCCTTAGCCATTGTAAGGCTTAATATGTGCATTATATGAGTAAAATGACTGAATCACAATTTTTTCCAAGCCTAGCTGCCTGAAATCCAGTAGCAAGTCACAACTAGAGTAGGCCCACTGACTCAACAGAACGTACATAGAAGCTGACTCAGCAAATCTCCACTGATTCAGTGGGCCTTCTTTAATTGTGATTTACTATTTGATTTCAGCCATTGTCATAGCAAATTCATTGACCTAATCTCACTATAGCCTGAGATATTCTTCACACACAGGAGATCTGGAGATAATAAACCTGCTGTCCTTTTATGAATATTGTTTTGCAGCACAACATCTGAGTTGATTTTCATGTCTCTGCAAGAGTCTTCTCACCTCCCTCCCCTTCTAAAGTGTGTAGTGATTTGTCATGTTCAGTCTGCTAATCCCATGGATAGGGATGAACATCAATGGGTTCACATTTACCTACAAAAATAGTCATTCTACATCTCCGAGAGTGTCGATGGCATGAAAAGCATCTGCCCTTTGAAATCCGTTCACTTCTGAGGATGCATTTTGGCAAGGAACAAATCTGGTCTAAACAATGTATGTGTTTGAAATATGTGCATGGCATAAACTCACTTTAGTCAGTAGGGATATGCATTAAAATGCAGGCCAATATATGCACAGATTTCTAGGCAGGAGGAAAAAGAGAAAGTTCGGTACAGAACTAGGGCACAACAAGAATAGAATTCTGAGAAGCTCAGTGCAAATACTCGTAAAGATTTTCACATCATTGCTTCTGAGAAACTAACAGCTCCAAGTCAAAGTTCTATTCCTAAATTATTTGGCATGTTCACACAGACAAACTATCCTATCCTATTCAAACAAACACTCATTGTCAAGTACCAGTTATCCTGGATGTTTCATTTATTTGACCACATGCATGTAATAAATATGGGAATGATGCAAATTAAATGACAGTGAGCACCACTTGGCAAAAATGTGGGTCACTTGGCCCAACCACCCTTTTTTCTTTCACAGCTGGGGAATAAGTGAAAATGAAAGTAGCATCAGAGGTTGCCAGCTTGGTTATGCAGTGCTTGCCAAATACAGATTGTTCCTGGGGAATTGTAAACAATGTATTGTTGGAATGTGGTAGAATTCCACGACTTAATGTTGGCAGAATTTTTTTCTCCCTCAGAACAATGGCTGGGAATTAATCTCTGCATTTTGTTCACCAGATTCTCCATTAAAAGACAGCATAAGCCCAGTTTGTAAAACATTTCAAAAGAATTGGATGAAAAAATGAATTATTTTCCTTAGGTCTTCATATTATGTCACACAGCCCTCATAACTTTCATACCTGTGGAAATCATGGTGGAATTCCCATTGTGTTAAGATTACCCCCCCCTCCTTTTAAAACAGAGATCTGTTCATTTGCATTTTAATTGGGGAGGCTTAACCTGTGCCTGTGTCTGTTTAGGATGTTAAGCTTGTCACCCTGCAGTCTTGAATGGTTAAGAAAGTGAACTTTCTTCCTTCTGTTCCTAGATAAAGGGCTTCTCAATGAACTGCTTATTTAGCCCATTAAGCTGAAGCAGATGTTATGGATTGCCTGTAATTAGAGCTAAAAGCTCCATGAATGTTGGAGAGAAAGGACTGAGGCAGTTTCTTCAAAGGAATCCCACCAATCACCCAACAAAGGAAGTTCACTTTCATTCTCCTTGAGGGGGAAGAAGCTCTTGCTGAGACACTTACAGACTTTTGTTAATTAAGGGTTTTCCTATTATCTGTTTTGATCCAGGACCACTGATTCTAGCTGCAGTTAGAGATGATAGCACGCTGAACCCCAGGCCAGGCAGAACCCTACAGTGTGTCTGTGCGACACCTTGGAGCACTTAACCATAACCAGGGTAGAAATAGCTGAAAGTACCTGTTGACATAGAGCCAAAATTACAGACTTAAAAGAAATATATTGTCCCAACAAGATACATAAGACCTTAAGTGTTAGAGAAAGACTAAAATGATCTGTGCTCTGCCTGTTACCTCTGAGCCGAAAGAATATGAAAACGACACATCCAGTGTTAAAAGCATTACACTCTATTGCATTTGAAGCAGAGGTTTAAAACATTACTTTCATGGGCTACAAATCTCAGAATCCTATAGCCACCCATGTTGACTGCAGGAATTCTGGAATCTGTAGGCCAAAAAGAAATGTTAATACTGTACTTCTAAGTTCTGATCTAAACATATGTTAGGGAAGTAACCTGCCATCTCAGATGGGGTTTGCAAATTTGGGTGGAGCTTGCAGACAGACGGTTGGTGTAGTGGATAATATTGAATTTGGACTCAGGAGACTTGAAATCCTCACTTGACCAAGGATGCTGGCTGTGGGTTAGCAACAATAATACAATCTTTGAACATCTTGCATACCTCAAAAACCCTTTCAGGGTAATGTAGGGAAAAAACTTGACTTCACATAACAACAACAAAAAGAAGAACCAGGAGCCTTATGGAAGTTGTATGTTGAAGGAGTTCAGGTTCTTTAGTTCTTTAGTGGAAGTTGTATGTTGAAGGAGTTCAGGTTCCACCTGAGTTCAGGTTCCGCCTCATGTCCTCTCTTGGATTTACAAGTAGGTAGGCCTGGAAAACAAGGCCTCCTGTTCTCTCTTGCATTTACAAGTAGGTAGGCCTGGAAAACAAGGAATTCAACAACATTTTATTAAGATCGCAGTGATCTCTGAGGTTCTAGTCATGAGAAATGGGGTGCAAAGACTCATGCTTATGGCTCCCAATGTTTTCTGTCAAATACAAACCAAAAGTATCTATTGACTCTAAGCAGAAATGAGTCTTGGTTTTGCTTTTTGAAACACGGTTAAAATGAATAAATGTTCCCTGTCCCTAAAGATAATGATCATCTCTGACTGAAAGTTATAAATATGACTGGATGGGTACAGTGGGGTCTTGACTTAAGAACGGCTCGAGTTAAGAACATTTTGACTTAAGAACCGCTCTCATAGGAAAATATTGACTTGACTTACATACTTAGATTTGAGTTAAGAACTGAAAAAAAACCACGTGGGAGGCAGGGAAAGTGCAAAATTTGAACTTTCATTTAGCTGTTGGCCAGTGAAAAGGGTGCCTGTCTGCTTCCTCACTCCTCCCAGCATTTAGAGAGTGGATTGGGAGACAGTCTTCAGACTGCCTGGTACTGTACTGCCTGGACTGTATTTTCCCTGCCTTCCCTGAACCTTTCTTGACCTAAGAAAAAAAGAAACAAAATATCCCCTCTAGTGGTCGAAGGCGGAATAGCAGCTTCCCATTAGTTTCTATGGACGGAAAAGAGCAGATACGGATCAAATGGTTTTCAATGCATTCCTATGAGAAATGCAGATTTGACCTGAGAACTTTTTGACTTGAGAACCGCCTTCCAATACGGATTAAGTTCTCAAGTCAAGACCCCACTGTATACTTTCAGTGATTATGTTGAAATCTTCCCACTCTTGGTGATTCAGAAGTTTCTGGACTGCCAAATGTGGAAAAAGCACATACTTTTGATGCTTACGTATAAAGCCCTAAATGGTTTAGGGCCTTGATATTTGACGGAACGCCTACTCCCACCAAGATCTATCTGTATCACCCAATTGAGTCAGGAGGTGAGGCTGAGGAGCCTGATGCCAAGGGAGGCCCAGAAGGAGAAAACAAGAAAACGGGCCTTCTCAGCGGTGGCTCCTCACCTCTGGAACAACCTTCCTCCAGAGATTTGGGCGGCCCCTTCGCTGGGTATTTTTAAAAACTTGGATGTTTAAGCAGGCCTTCCCTCCAGTTAAGGTTTAACTTTTCCTTCCTCATTTTTCTTCTGTTATTTTCCTCTCATCTTGAAGAAATTGTTTATTTTTTCCTTGTGCTATATGGATATGTCGTTTTTATGTGTTGGAAGCCGCCTAGAGTGGTCGCAAGACCAGATAGGTGGGATACAAAGGAAATGAAATGAAATGAAATAAATAAATAAATAAATAAATACTATGATACAGAATATATGAGAATCTGGTTCCAGATGTAGAATAAGTTCCTGTACACTGTACTGAAGTTCCTAATTAATTTGCTTTCAATAGCCGAAATCTTGTTGCAGTGATATGGATTTAGAAGGCAAATGGTATGACATTCAGTTCCTTCTAGATAGCAATTAACCAGTCCCCCCACTCAACCCACAAAGTTCCTAAGTGTGTGTGACTCTTAATTGTCAGCTAGAAGTGACTGAATGTTAACATTGTTTGGCTTCCACATATCTAAGAAAACAACAGGATTTCAACAATAAATTGTTTTCCTCTTCAGAATATTTTCAGACCACCAGGTTGCATTTTTCAATGTTTCTCAAAACTAAAAACAGCTTGCATTTTCCAAAGAAGTAGCTATGTTAGTCTGTCCCAGCATGTTGGTAAAATATAAAGACAAAAGGAAGAGAAAAAAAGAGAAAGAGAGAAAGGCCGGCAGTTTGAAGACTAACAGATTTATTATAGTGTGGGGCTTGAGACACCTTGTCTAAAGAAGTGGATTTTGATCCTTGAAAGCTGTAATAAATTTGGTCTTTAGAACTGCCACAATAATTTGCCTTTCTCTTTTTTCTTTTCTTTTTCCCTTTTAATTTTGTCCAGACTCTACATGTTTGGTTATTTTTGTTCAAAGTAGCATTTCAGGAAGACGTCTCGACCAGTGGCTTTTAGACTTAGGTCACCAAACTGGGAGTATAGCTCCAAGAATTTCTGACCATTAGCCATGCTGAGTTCCTTGGAGTGGAGGTGGAACCCATATTTGAGAACCATTCTCTCCACAGTACAGTACTTTTGTTTTCTTCTGGGCAGGGAAGGTTTGGCTTGAGGAAGGAACATTCAGATAATCCACATCTGGAGCTGCATTCAAACATAATCTAGTTTGGATTAAGTTTGATTTACTCTGATACTGGCAAAAAGCTAGATTGTACCTTGATTTGTTCAATTAGTTTACACACAGCAAGGCTTAGATTACCATATTTATCGCTCCATAAGATGCACCTTTCCATAAGACGCACCACTTTTTTAGGAGAAGAAAACAGGAAAATATAATCTGTTTTCTTCGCTCCATAAGACGCACAGACTTTCCACCCCCCTGTTTTGTGGGAAAAAAGTGTGTCTTATGGTGCGAAAAATACGGTAATTTTGTTAAGAGCTGAATATGAAAGGGGAAGCACTTCAAGCAAACAACCAAGCACCCTATTAGATGTTCCTGTTTACATACTTGTGCCAGTGAAGTGGTATATAAATAGCAGATGTATGAACAGAAGATCTGAAAATGCATCAGTCTTTGAGACTGTTTTACTATATTACTATACATTTTACTATATTACTATGCATTTTTGCTTATGGCTTGGTTATCTGTCAGCTTACATGATAAACTGCCTACATAAAAAGCTATGCAAAGTTTATCTACCACTATCCAACTTTACCCTTTTTAAAAGACTTTTAAAAGTGATTGGGCACCATCATCCTTTTGTTACAGCTTTTAGCTTTGATGGTGACTGAAAATGAACAGTCTTATTCTGCCTGGTGCACCATAGTCTTTTTTATTTTCCTTCTAAACTCATTTGCTTGGACGGGGCCCCACTTCTACATGTAATCATTATCTTCATCAGTTATGAAAGCTGAAACATAAGAGTCAGTGCTCTGAATAACCAAAGTCTTCTCTGTCTCTCTTGCGGAACTATATTCTTTTTCAATTTGAAACGTATCCCATTAAGTGGCTTCATGGACTTCTTTTCCTTCTGAAATTGCAGGGTACACCAGGACCAATTGGAGTTCCAGGACCAGCAGGACCAAAAGGAGAAAGGGTGAGTGAACTTTGAAAAACAAGTAACATACATCAATCTGTAAGCCAAAAGCACTTCCGCTCCAATGCAGCATTTTCTTTTTCAGTGTATTATGTAATTTCTGTTCATAGTGCTGTCTGTGATGACTGACAAATAGCCATTTTGATGTAGTTGCAACCTTTAAAGCCTTAAATGGTTTAGAACCATGGCATCTGACATATTATTTGCTTACTTATGAGTAGATATGGGGTATTCATATTCTTATCCTTGGGGATTCACAATAGTAGTTGCAACCTTTAAAGCCTTAGATGGTTTAGAACCATAGCATCTGACATAGTATTTGCTTACTTATGGGTAGACTTGGGGTATTCATATTCTTATCCTTGGGGATACAAATACAAATCACGGCAACATAGGTGCCACATAGGCCATTCTCTGTCCCCAGAATCAGCCAGTCCACTCACCTGTCACCACACAGCACTCAGATCCTTTGTCATTGTCATTGCACCAATCCTTGAAGGAACCTGGCCAGTGCTTCCCTGCCTCCCCACACACTCCCCAGAATCAGCCAGTCCACTCACCGGTCGCCACACAGCACTCAGATCCTTCGTCATTGTCGCACCAGTCCTTGAAGGAACCTGGCCAGTGTTTCTCTGCCTCCCCACACAGCCAACCGCTCATCAACTGAGTGGGGAGATTCCCCATCCTGCCTCCTCACTGGAGTGGTCAGCTGTGCGAGGAAGCACTGGCTGGGCTCCTTCCCAGATTGGTGTGACAACTAATCCCAGCACTGCACAGTGACTGGTGAGTGGACTGGCGACAGCAATGAATCCCAGCACTGCACAGTGACCGGATTTGTGGACTGGCCAGTTCTGGGGGTAGGGAATGGGCCTCTTTTATTCCTATCCCCAGGGATACAAATGTGAATAGTCCATGTCTCCTTATGAGACTGCTTGCTTGATTAAGAGTAACATTGTCTGAAATCCAGTAGTAAGCCCCAACTAGAATAAGCCTGTTGAATCAGTGGAACTTACTGAGGAATTCACTCACCAAATCTGCACTGATTCTGTGGGCCTACCCTAAGTATGACTTGCTGCTGGGTTTCAGCCTCCATTACCATAGCCTTAGAAGCTGAAGTTCTTTTAGTGTTCCAGAACCGTGATTCCATAAGATTGTCATGTCCAAGCAATCATATTTGTGAACAATGCAAGTATGATTGCTTGGCCATGAAAAAACAAAGGAAGCCAATTTGCAGCCTTCTGCTTTGACAATTATATACCCTTTAGCATATGAGAGTTTTCCTGTTTGGATGGCATAATGTATAGTTTGACTCTAAAATAGCCTAGGGAAACCCTGTTTTCAGTTCCAGACCTATATTTGAATAGAAGAATGTAGAGGGCCTTCTCTGTTTTAGTACCCAGTCTTAAAACCCGCTCCTTATGACATTTCAATTTGCCTTCCTTCTTGTTAGTCTACCAATCCAGTGTTCAGACATTCTAGCATAGGTATTTAACTGCAGCTTGTGTAATATTTCTGTATTTGTTCTATTGTTCCACTGTGATTTTTACTGTGTTTACTATGGTTTTGACACAACTGCTTTTAACAATGGTCAATATCCTGTTGTGTATCTCTGCCTGCCAGCAAGACTGAGGTTACCAGCAGAAGCAGATTGCTGCTAGTTAAAAGAGTTCCTTTTCCAATTGTAGTATGTATGCTTTTGTGATCTGAAAAAAGGAACTCTAATTAGTGGCAATCTGCCACTGTCAGTCATGTTAATTCTATTGCATATGTGGAGCCACACAACAGAAAACTGGCCACTGTTTCATTTCTGGTTTTTCTCATATTGTAGTTTGTTTATTATATATATATATTGTTGCTTTTATTATAGTGTAGTTTACTATTTTTGTAGGTTGCCTTGAACTATAATAAAAGACAGGTGTATAAATATAAAAACCTTAAATGAATAAATGAATAAACAAGTTGAAAATGTGATTTTAAGACATAAGACATAAGACATAAGAAATTTATTTGTCATTGCGCTCACAAGTGGGTGCCACTGTCAGTCATGTTAATTCTATTGCATATGTGGAGCCACACAACAGAAAACTGGCTACTGTTTCATTTCTGGTTTTCCTCGTATTGTAGTTTGTTTATTTTATATATATATATTGTTGCTTTTATTATATTGCAGTTTACTACAGTATTTTTGTAGGTTGCCTTGAACTATAATAAAAGACAGGTGTATAAATATAAAAACCTTAAATGAATAAATGAATAAACAAGTTGAAAATGTGATTTTGTTGGTTTATGTATAGTAGTTTATTATTATCAAAGATTCATTATAAATCTAAGATGTATCTGGCATATCCAGGCACCTCCTACAAAATTTATCTCTTCCTAATTCCGTTTCAGGGCAATAAAGGAGACCCTGGAACTGCAGGACCAATTGGGCCAGCAGGACTTCCTGTAAGTTCAACGAAATTTTTATCTTCTCCCTCCTGACCCGAGCCTCCATTTTTCATCCTGTGACAAGACAAAGACCCTTCTGTTGCAATGAATATAACAGAAGGGCTTTTTAAAAAAGATTTTCTACCAGGGTGAAAAGGATTATACGTTTAGGCAGTAATTTTTTTGTCTCTATGATGGTGTCCTGGGGACTGCCTGGAAGTGACTCTCCAAGGTTGGGGACAATGCTCCAGCCTCGGAAGGGAAGCTCCAATGTTGTCTTTTCCTTCTCTGCATCCTCAGATATGTTCTGATATTGAATGAGCAGATTAAAAGGTGTGGAGTAGGCAAATGAGATCAAGCTCTGGATGTATAGCACCCACAGCCTGTCCCCAGTGCAGGGAAGGAGTCAGGTCAGCTGACCTGATCAAGGGGTATGGTTGTACACTGTCAAGTTGCTTCCAACCCTTAACATGGCTGTCGTATGAATTAATGATTTCCAAAAGGTCCTATGATAAATGGACCAGCCCAGGTCTTAAAAACTAAAGGCTGTGGTTTCCTTTACTAATTCAGTCCTACTCATATTAGAAGGACCCTAGCCATTCTTAGGAACTGTCAGGGTACTCTAACCCAGTATTAGAGGCTGGCAATTTACTCCAACCCAGTATTAGGCTTCCCCTATTACTAGCTGGTTGCTAGGGAAATTATAAGGCTTCTTGTGGAAGCATGAACATGAAAATCTGTTCCTGTTGAATCTGGGGATGGGGCAAGTGCTCTTACAGATCTAATCCCAACCTAGGGAAGTTAGAACTATGCTTTGCTTGTTATCACTCTGGTAGGGTTGCTGTAGTGTTTGGTGTGACTGGGAAAAGCTCGAGTGCAATGGCCCAGGCCTACTCATCTATGAAGAAAACCAGTTTAATGGTGGTTGTTGTTGTGGGTTTTTCGGGCTTTTTGGCCATGTTCTGAAGGTTGTTCTTCCTGACGTTTCACCAGTCTCTGTGGCCGGCATCTTCAGCTTACTTAAGCGGTAAATCACTGCCTGCCTAACCTTTCACACAGAGATACTGTGCAGAATAAATCCTACTTTGAGTTCTACACAGAAGGCAAGGAATAGCACTTAATATTTTATTCTCTCCAAGTCTAGTTTCTGTTTGGGAAAGTTACTATCTCTTGTGGCACAATAAAATGTTGATATTTAAGGTGCCATAAGATTCTGTGTAGTTTTTGATGGGATTTTAAGGGCAGAAAAAGAAGAGGCTCTAGCTCACTGGAAATGATAGATAAACTTTTAATACTTGCAAAAATATATTATAGGGTTTACAAGGTTCACCAGGTGAAAAAGGAAACCGGGTAAGTCTTGAATTAAATCTGTTTAGCTACTTCAAGAAATGTCTTTAAGAAATGGTGGAATGATTAATTCTTTTTGATAGCATAGAAAAGGCTAAGATAAAACCTTACTGCCTAACAAATTGTATAATATAAAGATGTAGGAGCAATATTTATACAAGAACAAAAAAGCCTGCATGAGCTGCTTCACATTTGCTGGCAGCAGTACTGGCTGGTTGCAATCGTGAATCCAGAATTCAGGATAATTTTCATCCAATAGATTGATAACATCCTGAAAAAAAAGTGTGATGTAATAGTTATCAAGCAATGAGACGTGGTGAGTTTATGACTGCTCCACATTGATGTCTCATAGTTAATCATTCTACTTGTTTTTGCTGTGTAATTTTTTTGATTAAAAAAAATGGTACTGTTCAGATTAGTCTATAATGAGTAACTTAAAAAGATTCTGAGACTTTTTCAGTTGGTTTAAATTTGCACAAAAGAAGGGTTTTAAAAAAAAACCCAAAATCCAACTTGGCTAGCATTGTGTCCAGTTGGATGACATCATCAGGAAAGGATTGCTTTGTTTGTGAGCTAGTTGCAGTAAAGCACTGGAAGGAATCACACCTGTTTCAGCTGTGCTCATAATACAAGAATCAGAATCATAACTACAATAGAACAATTACGGCTTTGCCAAAATGTAGGGAGCAGAAATGTTTTCTGCTGGAAGAGTGCGAAACTGCCCACTTCAAGCAGAGTGTGCTGCCTCCAGCTGCTCCTTCCTGGCAGAAGGAAATGCAAAACAAGCAAGCTCAGTGGTTAGCAAGAACTCAGAACCAGGCATGTTTCCCCATTCCTCTGTCCTGCCTGTGGTTTCCCTATTTCTTCTTCTGCCATCTCCTTATCAGAAAAAAATTAAGAAGAAAATATGGAAGAATTGCACAATGAAGAGCTGGATAGCTCAGTGGTTTAGGTATCTGGCTGTGCAGCCAGAGGTTGGGAGTTTGATTCCCACATTGTGCCTCCTTAACAGGGGCTAGACTCATTGACCTATAGGGTCCCTTCCAGCTCTGCAGTTCTAAGATAATTATCATTATATATGTCTTTTGATTGATGACCCTAGAAACCTCCTGTCCGAAGGCACCCTAAATTTGGTTCTAGCTTTACTTTAAAGTCGTTCAAGCAGACCTAATATTAAAACAGGGAACTGCCACTGCTCCATCCAGCTAGTGCATTTACTGGTTCTTGTGTCACTTCACAGATACAATACAGCTCTTGAAAGGCAGCTCTTGTCTGACAAAACGTGGTGCCTACTATACATATGGAAGCACAGAGTTCCTTTGAACAACCCAACTGAAAAAGTGTCAGTGCTTAATGTGTGCATTCAAGTGGAACTCATTATTTCAAGCGCTGTTTTCTCTTCTCCTGTCTATGTGTGTGTGTGTGTTTGCGCGTGTGTTCCTTGCCTCCGCAGGTCTACCTTTGTCCCTCTTATCCCTTCCTGCTCTTCTGCCTTTTCTCCTGGATCCTTCCTCCTCTTCCTGCTGCAACCCACACTGCATTTTTCTCCTGGATTATCCTTCCTCTATGACAGCCTTTGATCCTGGGTGACCTCTCCTTTCCCATCCATTTTTCCTGCCAGCTTAATGTTGTTGTTTTGAAAATGATTTAAAAAAAACATAAAAATAAAATCCCAAACCCATTTATTTCCCTTTTTTTAAATAAACTCCTCTGCTTGATTTTTTAAAATCTAATCCTTACACCAATTACTAAATGACATTCATCCTTCCGCAACTTCATTTATGTTTCCTATCCACAAATATTTCTTCTCAAATATTTTCCTTTATGTATGTCACTGGCTTTTCAAAATTAGTTCAGGAAGATTTGGTCATTTCACTCTCTTAGTGAATATTGGTCCTGGGCTTGATATTGGCTTTGTTCAAAACGAAGTGACCTCAGTGAAGCATTGAAGGTGACTTTCCAAGTCTGTATACAGAAGTATCGCCAGGCTCACTGTCTCCATTTTTATTACTTGCAGAGTCTATTTTAAGAACCTAAGTAGAACAGAGCAGCCTTAAACCTGGCCTTGCTAGTTTTATCTCTCCTGTTAAATTATAATAATGGTGGGTATAGCTGATGATCAGTTAAAAATCAGTGATTCTGATACAGAGAAATGTTTTATATTATTATTATGGAATGCAAGGGGCTATGTAAGAATAATTGGGAAAAGAATTTCACATTCCTTCTTAGAATGAATATATTACAAAAACTAAAGCTGTAAATGGAAAGGTTTGTCTGCTTCATTTTAAACTATACGCTATCCATGCCACTGAGTAGCATCCAAAATCAGACAATAGGCAGGAACAAGTGTTTTAGATAGCCCATCATTAGAAATGGAAAATCTTTAAACCCTGATTGTCTGTGTCACAGCAAGAGCTTTTTTTTAAAACCTCCCAGACTTCACAAATTAGCTTTCTTTCTTTTTCTGATTGGTCTTCAGGACTGAAACGTTAGGTTCCTTTGAGTCACAGCAAGCGCTTTTTTAAAAAAAACCTCCCAGACTTCACAAATTAGCTTTCTTTCTTTTTCTGATTGGTCTTCAGGATTGAAATGTTAGGTTTCTTTGAACTGAATTATGCAAAAATGAATTAGGAGATATTTAGCAGTTTCCTAATGTGGTGTAGTGGACAGGGGGATGGACTAGGACTCTGGATGCTGCCAACAGTACACCGCCTTATAAACAAAAGCCCAAACAGGCACTTGAGGCTTAATCGTTAAGGAGATACAATATTCCTACTAATACAGGAAGATACGGTGTTCTTTGCAATGATTGCAGTCATTGGGCAAAATGCTATGCCCTGTTTAATAATAGTCACTTGGAAGTGTGTGGTGCAAACTTCTAGCTTTTTGTAAAACCTGCTGTGAACATATCCTTAGATTTCACCCATCACTACAGATCAGGAAAATTAGTCATTGGAAAAGAAGAGTGATGACTCCCACCAGTCATGTTATGCAGTGAACTCAGTTTTTGTTCTCTTCATATTGTATAAGATCAGAATTCTCCATTGAGCTCCATGGGCCTTACTTCAGAACAAGTGAGGAAGATCTTTTGTTTCCATTTTAAAACCTATTGGCATCACTTTGGTCATTTCTTTTTGTTCTTCTGTTGTGATCGTTTTATAACAGCTAAAATAAACATATACTTAAATGTGGGGAAGAAAAGCCCGCCCCAATATTTCATCAAAAAACATCTTGAATCAAGCCTTTAAAGTTACCTTGAGTCACAACTTTAAAATTATTGTTTTTTACATGGTTATATTTTATTTTTGTTGATGATAACAGACTTAAAATAGATTCTCCTAAAACTTTGATGTATTTTAATGAACTATTATTCACAGGGGGAAAGGGGCAAGAAAGGCTCTAGAGGGCCTAAAGGGGATAAGGGAGACCAAGGAGCACCTGGATTAGATGCACCCTGTCCATTGGTATGTTGTGTTTTTATCTTGTTTTCAGTTAAATTACTGGGGAAGAAGGAAGGACAAAAGGCCACATTATAGTAACTGATTGAATAACGATTGTTTTAATTTTTTTAAGCCTCTTCATTTGAGGGTTGAGACAGAAAATAAAACCAAATTAAGTCCTGGATGCAATTGAACTACAAAAAAATATTGGGCTAATAACACATTTTCTCTGATGGAAAAAGCAATGCCTTGATGCTTCTAGACTCAACAATATGAAAGCTCTGTCTGTAGGATATGATCTATGCTGACTTATTTAAGTATATAAGTCATCACCTGATGGTGCAGTCCTCAAGTGGTGTATCCTGTATAATTTTTTAATTATAATTAGAAAATTGTAAACTGCCCGGAGAGTGCTTGTAGCGCTATGGGGCGGTATATAAGTCCAATAAATAAATAAATAAATAAATTTTCTCTGATGGAAAAAGCAATGCCTTGATGCTTCTAGACTCAACAATATGAAAGCTCTGTCTGTAGGATATGATCTATGCTGACTTATTTAAGTATATAAGTCATCACCTGATGGTGCAGTCCTCAAGTGAACATGCATGCATTAAACCATATCTACAGAACAGAGAAAATGAAGTTGCCTTCCTTGTTCTCCCCTTCAGTGCTGACCAAATGATGTGTTCAAAAATACCATTAAAGCTGACCGTACTATAGGGTACCTAGTCTATAATACCCAGTGGAAAACAATTTGAACAAAGAAAAATAGGTTCTTGACATGGTACTGGTATACACTGACAACCTGGAATTCTTTCTGTCACCTTTTTCATAAAGTTCCCTAAAGCACTTTTTGAAGAACTGTAAAAGGCTGATTGAATTATATGCAACTCTGTAACTGAGAAAGCTTTAAAATTCCTTAATATCAATATCCAGAAAGAACATATGTATTAGGAACTAGTACTCTCTTTTTAAATTGGCTTTGTTAACCTGGTATACAATACCTTTGTGATGTTAACTCATGTGTCTACATCTTGCCAGAGAAAATGGCATGGTTTAAAGGGATTTTAAAAAAGAAATAGTATCAAATCATTGCCTACTGTACATACAGTATATATGTAGAATAATAACACCATGGTTTAAAGGGATTTTAAAAAAAGAAATAGTATCAAACCATTGTCTACATACAGTATATATGTAGAATAATAACATTTTAAAAAGTCTTGCTCAAGCTAATAAAAAAGTTCTAAGAATCCAAAGTATGATTATTAGCTATTTTATCTGGCTCCTTAACTCCCTTGTGTTCTGTAACAAAGCCATCCATCCAGTTGATGCATACCTGCAGCCAGCTTACTTTTGCTTCAAATATTAAACCACCTGAAATATCTTTTCCAAAAGTTTGGATCTTCTTCCAACTCATCAGTCTCTACAGAATCATCTCATGTTTTCCAGTTAAGCAGTATGCCTTATGATTATTTCAGAAAACAAAAAAAGAAAGCTGTGATTGTTTGCCATTCAATAGAAATACACTGGGTATATAGTCTGAGCACCCTTAGGTACATCGTTGTTGTACTGAGTTTCTTCACTGATGAACTGGAGATTGATCTCCACTGACTAAAGTAATTCCAGCAGTTGATTTCATGAACAGGGACTCCGAGGTTTTAAAGGCGAGAAGGGTGAGCCGGGGTTACCAGGGCTGGATGGGCTGGATGCCCCTTGCCCATTGGTATGGTGTTACCTTCCTTTTCCTGCATGCTTCAGATTGCTTTCTGTCCTTTGTTCGTGCAAAATCTTTTTCAGATCTCCTCCTTCTTTCTAGTGTTCTATGTATAGGATTACCCAGAATACCTCCTAGAATGAAACTGATTGCTACTGCCATTTTCCTTGCAATATATGAGTCTGATTCTAAACATGCATGATTAGGTGCTTGCTCATAGCTGCTTTCCCTCTTGTGCTTTTCTTTCTTTACCTCTTGTAAAACTTGCACACAATGAAGGCCTGAGCCACACATGTAAGGTAGCCACAGGAATCCATCAACACTTCTCAGAACTGTGTAGTTCTGGTTCTTTTTGCCCCTTATTTAAAATTGAGATTTCTATGCTGGTGTACAAAGATAACCAGAATAGCAAACAAAATAATCAAACATATTTAAAAATAATTATAAAATGTCCTTCAAGAGCACACCCTGGAAGATGTTAACAAAGAAAGCCCCTCCTAACTGTACCTTCACAGCACATGTCTCTTACTAAGTACACTCACAGAAGGTAAAGGTAAAGGTTCCCCTTGACAATTTTTGTCCAGTCGTATTCAACTCTAGGGGGCGGTACTCATCCCCGTTTCCAAGCCATAGAGCCAGCGTTTTGTCCGAAGATAATCTTCCGTGGTCACATGGCCAGTGCGACTTAGACACGGAATGCTGTTACCTTCCCACCGAGGTGGTCCCTATTTATCTACTTGCATTTGCATGCTTTCGAACCGCTAGGTTGGCGGGAGCTGGGACAAAGCAATGGGAGCTCACTCCGTTGCGTGGATTCGATCTTACGACTGTTTGGTCTTCTGACCCTGCAGCACAGGCTTCTGCGGTTTAGCCCGCAGCGCCACCACATCCCTCAAACTCACAGAAGGGCCTCATCAAAACACCTAGTATAAGGGCAGGTTAATGAGAAAGAAGCCACTCAAAGTTGCAAGCCTCAAAGATACTAGGCTTTAAAGGTAAGCATAAGCACCTTAAATTGGACTTGGAAGACAACAGGTAGACAGTATACTTCTTTTAGAATTTGTATGATGTGATTTTATCTACTCAAACTGATCAGAATTCTAGATTACATTCTGGACTGGTTGAAACTTTCAGACTCTCTCCATGACTGTGTAGGCATCCTTTAGTCTTGAGAGACTGTGGTAACATGCTCTGAATAAGGGTCTTGGAACAGAGTCTAGTGTGGCTGAGAAGGCCAATTCAAGAGCGACAATCCCTTCCACACTGAAGACAAATACAATCTGTCCCCTGTCCAGCTCCCTGATTTTGCTGCTTCCGGGACTGCCTCTTTGCCTCGGCCTGTCATGACTGTGTAGGCATCCTTTATTCTTGAGAGACTGTGGTAACATGCTCTGAATAAGGGTCTTGGAACAGAGTCTAGTGTGGCTGAGAAGGCCAATTCAAGAGCGACAATCCCTTCCACACTGAAGACAAATACAATCTGTCCCCTGTCCAGCTCCCTGATTTTGCTGCTTCCGGGACTGCCTCTTTGCCTCGGCCTGCTGAACAAGTGTCTCTTCAAATTGGGAGAGGCCATGATGCGCCGCCTGCCTCCAGGCTGAAAATTTGCTCAGATGTCAAATTTTCCCATCTGTTGAGGTTCATTCCTAAGGCCTTCAGATCTTGCTTGCAGATTTCCTCATATCACAGCTGTGGTCTCCTTCTGGGACACTTTCCCTGCGCTAATTCTCCATAAGAAGATCTTTTGGAATCCGACCATCAGCCATTCTCATGACATGCCCGAGCCAACGTAGATGTCGCTGTTTCAGTAATGTATACATGCTAAAAATGCCAGCTCGTTCTAAGACTACTCTATTTGGAACTTTGTCCTGCCAGGTGATACCAAAACTGTGTCAGAGACAACACATATGGAACGTGTTCAGCTTCCTCTCCTGCCATGTACAAAGGGCCCAGGACCCACTGCAGTACAGGAGTGTATTCAGGACATAGGCTCTATAGACCTGGATCTTGGTATATGCTGTCAGCTTCTTATTAAACCATACTCTCTTTGTGAGTCTAGAGAACATGGTAGCTGCTTTGCCAATGCATTTGTCCAGCTCGACGTCTAGGGAGAGAGTGTTCAGAGATTGTTAGGCCAAGGTACACAAAGTCATGAACAACCTCCAATGCTTGTGTGGAGATGGTAATAGAGGGAGGTGAGTCCATGCCCCGGCCCATGACTTGTGTTTTCTTAAGGCTGATTGTTAGTCCAAAGGCTTGGCAGGCCTTGCTAAAACGATTCATAAGTTGTTGGAGGTCTTCAGCAGAATGGGCAACAACAGCTGCATCATTGGCAAAGAGGACGTCCCACATGCATTTCAGCTGGACTTTGGTCTTCACTGTCAATCTAGAGAAATTATAGGGCTTTCCGTCTGATCTCGTCTGGAGATAGACACCTTTTGTTGCAGCTACAAAGGCATGATTCAGCATGACAGCAAAAAAGATCCCAAACAGGGTTGACGCAAGGACACAGTCCTGTTTCACTCTGCTTTGGATGTCAAAGGGATCGGATGTTGAGCCATCAAAAACTATAGTGCCCTTCATTTCTTTTTTATAGCCTCTGTGAATGCGCACAATTGGGTTGTTTAACGACTGCACAGGACCTCTCGGAAATTTCTAGAGCTTAAAGACATGTGATTAGTGGGACATTCCCCCATAGAGCGCATGCTCCACCCGCTAGAAGTCCCCTCAGTTCCTTTGAGCCACCGCTTAGGTTTGACCTATTTTGGAGAGCTAGAGCGATTGTAGAGAGTTAGAGTGATTGAACAATTCTTGAGATCATTACTTTATTTTCTCTTTCGATCATCGCCTTTCTTTGGACGTTTCCCCTGTGAGTTTATTCGTTTCCTTTTTGAATCGGTTCTACCCATTTTTCTTCTTCCTATGGTTTTCTGTTCCCCCTCCCCCACTACCACCCTTCCCCCCCAGTCTTTTATGCCCCCCCGGGGCCTTTCAAGCGGTGCATGTGGTGCACAAATAAGATCCCACTCACTGATGGTCACAACCATTGCCTCTTCTGTCTAGGAGAGCAACACCAAACACACTCTTGCACTGAGTATAAAAAGTTCACTAAACCTGCTATTAAACTTTGACTCCAGCGCAATCCTAAACTCCAAAGCAGCAAAAGCATTCCTACCAAAAGAAAGTGTCACAAAGCTAGTTACGCATGCAAGACAAATTTCTCAGAAGACTTCAGTCATGGTACACTTAATTCATAAACTGTTCGTTCTCATGGCCTCGACTATGGCTGTAGTGAGGTTTGCTAAAC